GATCAAATAAGAACAATTGCTTACTTTTCTATATATATAAAAAAAAAAACTTAAAGAAAACCAAATGCATAAACTACTAAAATTTTTATTAGTTTCAAATTCAATCAAATCTTTTGCTCACTGTAACGTAAATGAAAAGTAGAAATGGATATGATTATTATTTTTATTTTTAACTCTGTGCAACATGTTTAACAAAATGGAGCCTTTTTGTTTCTTTAAATTTAAATTTCGCAGGTAGAATAAGCAAAATTTTAAATGTTGATGTAGATGAAAATATGACGTCTTAATTTTATGAAAATACCGATAAAATGTCGACGTCGATGAATATTTCTAAAAAAATTACAAAAGAAAAATTCATAATAAATATTTAAATTAACAAATAAAGTTGTACCTCAATAAAAATTTATTAAATATTAATATTATGTTCATATTCGTGATATATTTTGTTGATATCTTTTATATTTTGTTAATTTTTTATAATGCTATGGAAATCTCGATTCATCGTTCATGTTGATATTGAACCCATATACATATGAAAATTCATATAGACATGCCAAAATTTAGTACTAAGTACTATGGCAAAATCACATTCTCTTGGAGATGAGTGGGAATTTCCCTATTTGTTTCGAAATGAGAATAATTTTTGTTTTCAAATTGATTTAAATTATTATTATTATTTCTATAAATCATATTGGTGTGCACCAAAGTTTTAAATGTCTCAATTTCATGGAAATATCGATACAATGTCGATGTTGATGAATGTTTCTGGAAAAATTATAAAAATAAAAAACTAAAAAAAAAATTAATTAACAAATAGTCGTTTAACCATTTCTAAACAAGTTAAAAATGATTAATATTAATATTATGTCTATATTAGTGAAATTTTGTTGATATTTTTTATAGTTTGTCGATTTTTTTTGTAATAAAATCGATATCGAACCCATGGATACATGGACATGTCCATGGACGACGGATATTTAAAATCATGGTATACACCAACAAAAAAATTAAAACTAGCCTAAAAATGGTTTACTTTTCACTAATACAAGATCCGAAACCCAGAAAGTTATCCAGCACCCACCCCACTCTCCAAGATCAGAGAAGAATGGGACAAGGATGAAAATCAAAATCTCCTATAAATATTGTCTAATTCAAATTATCTTAGACTAATTTTAAAAAACTTTATTACTGTTTTTTTAAAATGAGCTAAATTTTCAAAGCATTAATAAAAGTAAAAAACAAGACAAATAGAATGGCAGTTACCCAGCTTAACAACAATATGAATCTTGGACCTAATTAATAATTATGGTAAATCAGCTTACCAGCTTTCCCTGCAATATAATAGAGCCCGTTTGATCAAAATTCACTTCATTTTCTGAACCAATTGGAGAGTGGAAGAAGCCACTGAATACAGAACTGCAAACTGATCAAAGTTTATAAAGCAGACTCCAAAACTTCTCTCATAGTCTCACAGTTACGACTTAAAAAACAGTATAAAATATAGATACTATAACACAAATTTATGGACTGTGTAAGTTCTTGTTTCGAAACTTGTATTTCACCCAGTCGTACTGATGTATATTCAAGTTTGAAAAAATGGGTAAAGGAAATAATTGTAAGGACAGGGACCCCTCAAGAAGGGCATGGTGCTGTAGGCTGCATTGCTTGAGGTTTAGATTTGGTGGTGTAAGGCGGCTGTGTCATCCACCTTAAAGTCTGCAATTTTTCCAATCTGTGCAGAGTACAGGACGGGAGGCCTTAACGGTGGATGAGTACTCGATTTTATGAAGAACGAAACACTGTTGGGAACGTGTCGATATTCATTAGTACCTTGACATTAAGTGAAGGTTTTGGCAGGCATCCACTGGTTTACTTTCTTCGTTGGGTGGCCAGAAGTGTCCCTCATCATCAAGAAAGAAACATGGTGATTCATGTTTCCCTTTAATCTCTGAAGTCGTGCTCTGAAGGAATATGAGCCATCGGTATTTCTTTCGGTTTCAGCACGAAAGGGATTCTTTGGCACGGTCATGTTTGCATCACCTGGTCTATAAGGTCCTTTGTCTTTTGCAGCCTTCTAGGAAGCTACGCCATAGAAAAGCATCAGGAGGAAAAGGCATGGTGACAATCAACTTCTCCACTCCCGCAGCATGTCCATGTGAAGAAAGCAAGTCAACCAGACATTGATAATGATTCATTTCTGGTTCGATTCCGTATTTCACTTTCATCTTGCTAAACAACTCCATTCCTTCTTTAACAAGCCCACCGTGCTTGCAAGCTGTAAGCACTGCACCAAGAGCTACCTCGTCAGGCCTAAACCCCGATAACTCCATTTCTGCAAACCTTTCCAACGCTTCATAAGCGTCGCCATGTAACCCCAGGATGGAGATCAGAATTGTCCATGTGATTAAGTTTCTGTCTTCCACTTTGTCAAATATTTTCAAAGCACATCCAATGCTTCCACATTTTCCATACATGTCAATTAGCAGATTGCACATAAATGTATCACGACAACTGGGACTGGTCTTTATGATAATGCCATGAACCGAACTGCCAAGAGCAAGGTTGCACAATTTAGCACAAACACTCAAAAGGGAGATGAATGTATAATTGTCTGGATAGATTTGGAGCATGAGCATGCATTTGAAAAGAACCAGAGCTTTGATGTAATTGCTTGTTTTAGCACAAGCTTCAATCAAAATATTCCACGATACAATGTCTGGTTCCTCAAGTAGATAAAGCAACTTTCGTGTCTCGCCATATCGGCCAACTCTATTGTGATATCCAGCAATTATGTTAGAGAGTACAACAGAAGGCTGTTTGTTAGAATCAGATACATAAGTCAGGAAATCAGATATGAGACCATGTTTGGCATAGGAAGAAGCAAGAGAGCTTGATACATAATCATTCTCCTCATAGCCCATTCTTATAATCAAACAATGAATCTGAAGTAATTCCGAAGCCAATAGTGTTCTTATAATGGCTGAAAATGTAAACTCATTAGGTCGATAACCAAAACGGAGCATTTCTAGCAGCAGATAAATAGACGAAGTATAGCAATCAGTTGAGTGACCCAAAATCAAAGTGTTCCAGGAAACCAAATTCTTCTCAGCTATCTCATCAAAGCAATAACGGGCTTCCTCCATTTTTCTGAACTTAGCGTAAAAACCAACCAAAGAAGTGCCCACATATACATCAGACTCCAAAGCAAAACGAATTATTTTAGAATGAAAATATTCTCCATAAATGGAACTTTCCAAACAACTACAAGAGTAGACAACGTTTACAAATGATGCCTGGGTAGGAATTAGTCCATCCATTGACATATCGTAAAAGAGCTCTAATGCTATTTCAGGTTTCTTGACCTTTTCCCACGCCCCAATGATTGAATTATATGTCACAACATCCCGTATAGGCACCTCATAAAACAGTTTCTCAGCTAAGAAAAAGCCTCCACATTGTAAATACATGTTCATCAGAGAATTTACCACCAGAACTTCATTATAAAACCCAATTTTAATCACAATACCATGTAACTGTTGCCCAAATTTCAAGTCCTCTTCACAAGAAAAACAAGACAAAACACCCACAAAAGAGAACTTGGACAGTCCCATCCCTCCACTCATAAGCTCACAAAACAGAGACTTACATTCTTCCACAAGTTGATTACGACCCAGTAATGCCAATATCAAATTCCACGTCACCAAACTTTTCCAATTCATATCTCCAAAAACGCACAGAGCTTCCTGAAAGCATCCATGCCTACCGTACAGCCACATCAAGGCCGTTCCCACAATAGCATCAGCATCAAACAGTCCATTCTTAACTGATAACGCCTGCAATTGAACACCCTGCCAAAAATCCAATAACTCCGCCGACAATAACCCACCAAATGTGAATTGGGTCGACACAAAACCACAATCTCTCATCTCTGAAAACAAACCCCATGCTTCATTTACAAACCCACATCGACTATAAGCACTGATTACCGTGTTATAAGACACAGCATTTCGGTGGGGCATTTTGTCGAACAGGTTGCGTGCCACCGATAACATCCCAAAAGAAGAGTATTGGAAGATGAGATTATTATGGACAAAAATGGCCTGGTTCGGAACAGGACCCATTGTAATTGTGATAGCATGAAGAGGTCTTGTTGCTTTGAGGGAAGGGGCCTTGGAGCATGCTTGAAGTAGCTGGAGGAGAAACTGGTGGTGCTTGGCGATATCACCATTGAAGCTCATGCAGTTCAGCAATGATATCCTTCTCCCTTGACATAAAAAATATGTACTTCTAATATTTAGATAGCGCTTTATTTATTATTTATAAAATAAATATATATTGTATTTAATATATCTCTATGCCACAAATTTATTAATAAGAATTTAACCTAGGAAGAATCATCTTGTCTAGGGTACAGGGTTTCACTCGACATAAGGGCTTGGGGCGTGCGACCTTCCTTGGCACTGCTCATTGTTTTCTTTCCTTCTGTCTAGTTCTGGTTATAAGTTGAATTGTTGTTTCTTAGTCTCTTGTAAATCAATGGACGAAATTACTGAACGATCGAAGTCTCTTTCGTTAACAGCAGAAGAAGAAGACATTATACGTGATATAGATGGCAAAAGTATTCTTTCACATGAGAATATTCAATTGTATCTAGTTGGCAAAATTCTATCTAGTAAATTTGTTAATTTTGAAGCCTTTTGCTCAACGATGAAAAATGTTTGGGGTGTTTCGGGAGATACTCGCTTTGAAGTAGCGGGCTCAAATCTTTTTGTTATACAATTCAAATCTTTTTTTGAGAAAAAACGAGTTCTTATGGGTGGACCTGGTTCTTTAAGAAATCTCCTTTAGTCCTCTCATCTCCTACGGCATCAGACCAACCAGAAAGCATGGATTTTTCTCAAGACCCCTTCTGGATTCAAATTCATAATATTCCTTTTAAGTTTACGACTAAGGATGTGGCTCGAAAGCTTGGATCTTGTTTAGAGGCAACTGTAGAAGTTGACGATGTGTGGGAGGATAATTGGAGTGGTCCTTTTCTTAGAGTTCGAGTTGCTATAAACCTTACTAAACCACTTCGACGTGGTTTTCAGATTGAAATTGATTCGGGGAGCAAGATTTGGTGTCCAATAATGTATGAATGGTTGCCTGACTTTTGTTATATTTGTGGGTTGATTGGTCATACTAATAGAGATTGTGACATGTTTGTGGACCCTCAGAATACTAGGCTAAGATACCAATATGGTGACTGGCTTAGAGCAACTCCTATCAAACGTGCTTCAAGCGCCAAAATGAAGAGCATAACAAGTTTGATAGGAGTTGCCTTGTATGGAAGGATGATGTTTCTTTCAACATGTCGTCGTTTTCAGATCACCACATTGATGGTTATGTGCAGAATAACAATCTGTATTGGCACATTACTGGGTTTTATGGTAGCCCAAAAGAGGAGGGGAAATCTACCTCTTGGAGTCTTCTTAAACATCTAAAGTCTGACGATTATATTCCTTGGGTAGTTGGAGGCAACTTTAACGATATTCTACATGAACATGAGAAGGAAGGAGGTCGACCAAAACCTGCGAGCCTCATATCTATGTTTCGAGATACCATTGACTATTGTGGCCTTATGGATCTGGGATATTGTGGCTATAAATTTACTTGGATTAATAGGAGATAGGAGACAAGTCTCATTAAAGAAAGACTTGATCGAGTTCTTTGCAATCTTGCTTGGAAGAATCTTTTCTCTTTCTCTGAAGTTAGACATCTGGAGTTCTCTTTCTCGGACCATTGCCCTATTTCTCTCCAAGTTCGTTCTGCCCCAAAAGATCAATGTATTCTGAAATTTAGACCTTTCATATTTGAGAATGTTTGGCTTCAGTTTGAAGGATGTGAAGATATTGTAAGGATTGGTTGGCCTGCTTGTTCATCAGATATGGATACCCATCAATTGATTAAAGCTTCTTCTAGTTGTGCTTCTAAATTGATTGCTTGGGGTTTTAATAAAAAAGGTAATTATAGACAGAGGATTCAAAAGACTCAGTGTGTGATCTCCAGAGAGCAATCACTATGCCGGCGGTACGGATTATGCACATTCTATTCTTGTGGCTGAGAGAAATTTAGAGCATATCCTTGAAGAGGAAGAGACATATTGGCGTCACTAAAGATGAGTGGCTGAGGGGAGGGGATAAAAGTACCAGATGGTTTCACTCTAAAGCTTCATATCGAAAGAAACTAAACTACATTCAAGGACTTGAAGATGTGAATGGCATATGGCGAGAGAGCAAAGAGGAGGTAACTGATGCCATTTCGCAGTATTTTTCACATATTTTCTCCTCATCTATGCCTGATCTGCCTTGATTGATTCTGTTCTTAATGGTTTAGAATGCGGAGTTGAAGATAATATGAATCGCTTACTGCAGAGACCTTTTACTGTGGATAAAATCTATAATGCTCTAAAGCAAATTAGTCCCAATAAAGTCCCTGGACCGGATGGTTTCAATGGGTCTTTTTATAAAACCTATTGCCATATTGTGGGTAGGGATGTGACAACCTGATGTCTCAAGATTTTGAACGATCGTCTCTCGCCTAAACGCATTAATGAAACGGTTATTACTCTTATTCCTAAAATCAAAGATCATGTGCGGGTCTCAGATTACAGGCCTATTTCCCTATGTAACACAGTATATAAATTGGTATCGAAGGCCCTGGTAAATCATTTAAAACCTATTCTTGATGCCATCATATCCCCGAATCAGAGTGCTTTTATTCCTAAACAGTGTGTTGTTGATAATGCCATTCTTGGATATGAAAGCCTTCATACCATTAAAAACAAAAGGCAAGGAAAGACCAGTTGGGCAGTACTAAAACTTGATATGAGCAAGGTCTACGATAGAGTTGAATGGCTCTTTCTAGAAAGAATTATTTTGAAATTAGGCTTTGCTAAGGAATGGGTTGATAAAATCATGATGTGTGTTACAACAGTTTCATATAGTTTCAACATTAATGGTGATCGAGTTGGAAGAGTTATTCCCGACAGAGGTCTAAGACAAGGTGACTCTCTTTCTCCTTATTTATTTATTTTTTGTGCTGAGGGTTTGTCTCATTTAATTCAAAGGGCAGAACATAGTAAACAGATCAGTAAATTCTCTCTTTCTAAAGGTGGACCACCGATTACCCGTCTCTTTTTTGCTAATGATAGTATTCTCTTTTTCAAAGCGACTGCTCAAGAGTGCCACATAGTCCGTATGCTTCTTGATTCTTATGCGAGGGTTTCGGGCCAACCCATTAATTTTGAGAAGTCAGATCTCTCCTTTAGCCCTAATGCAAATGTCTCTTTGAAAAACTATCTTGGCCAGATCTTGGGTGTCATAATTGTTTCACATCACCAACGTTATTTGGGTCTTCTTGTGTTTATGCCAAGGAATAAGGTTAACACCTTTCATTTCCTAAAGGATAGAATTTGGAAACTTCTTCAAGGTTGGAAAAACGAGTTGTTTTCAATTGGTGGAAAAGAAGTTCTTATTAAAGCTATTGTGCAAGCTATTCCTTGCTACACAATGCACTGTTCTCGCTTGCCTGAAAGTCTTGTCTATGATTTAAATAGATTGATGGCTCGCTTCTGGTGAGGCTCCAATGGTGAGGAAAGGAAAATACATTGGGCGAGTTGGGCCCATTTGTGTAAACCAAAAAGTTTAGGGGGTTCGGGTTTTCGAGACCTCGAGCATTTCAATAAAGCACTTCTTGCTAAATAATGTTGGAGGCTATATAAAACCCATATGCGCTTCTTACTCAAGTTCTTAAGCATAGATACTTTAAGGATGGTTGTTTGTTTAACGCTAAAGCTGAGGGATCTTCTTCTTTTATCTGGAAAAGCTTAATGTGGGGAAAAAAGCTTCTCACTAAAAGGTCTTCGCTGGAAGATTGGAAACGGGCAGAAAATTTCAATATATGAAGACAGATGGATCCCGATTGAATTTTCCCTCAAAATTAGTCCGCCCCGCTTTCTTTCCCCTACTAGTACAGTGGCAGATTTGATAAGTGAATCAGATCAGTGGAATGAGAGGAAAGTCAGAGAACTTTCTTGAAAATGAAGCGTGGAGCATCCTTGGCCTACCAATAGGGGGACTTGGTAAAGTGGGTACCTCGTAAGACCTCAACCCGCCTACTCGGGTCTTGTATGAATATGCAGGATGAAAAGCAGGGGTGTTACTCAGTGAAAAGTGGATATAGACTAGCCCAATCCTTAAGCTTTCAAGGCCTCCCATCATCTTCTTCATATAGTGAACGGAAAGCTTGGTGGACAGGTGTGTGGAAATTGGGGCTTCCAAGCAAGCTCAAATTTTTCTTATGGCGAGTTTGTAATGATCTGTTGCCTACTCTTTCAAATCTTAGTAAGCGGGGTGTTGAGGACGATAACTTATGCAAAGCTTGTGGAGTTCAGGGCGAAGACATTATTCATGTTCTGTGGAATTGTAAGTTTCCCAAGAAAGTGTGGCGGCATACTCACCTTACTTTCTTGGCTCCTAATTATTTTGGCCCTAGTTTTTTCGAGTTGGCGCTAGATTGGAAGGAGAACATTTCCTGGGCTGATATGGAAGAAATTGTGACCATTTCCTGGACCATTTGGAATAACCGAAACAATCAGATTCATGGGAGAGGTCTCAAATCGGCTAAATATATATGGAGTTGGGCTATAAACTATCTCCAGATATACCGTGATGTGAATAGAAAGCAGACTTGTGTGGTTCCTACCTCATCTGTCAGTTTACAAAACAAATGGATTCCTCCTACCCCTCCTTTATACAAAGTTAACACAGACGCAGCTATGGCCAGTAACCTTATGTGTGCGGGGTTGGGGATTGTTATTCGAAATTTCAAAGGCGAAATTATGCTTACCTCGTACAAATCGATTCCTTTCATTTTTTAGTCTGATCTTGCAGAAGGTTTCGCAGCTATGGAAGGCGTCCGATTAGCTTCAGAAATGGGGATTCATCAGATCGTATTGGAAGTCGACTCAAGCCGTGTTTTCAAGCTACTTTCGTCAGAGGTTGAAGATGACTCTTGCTTAGGCGATGTTCTCCGATAACTCAAAGGCTTTGTGGGCTCTCATGGGGAAATCAATCTCAGCTTTGGTTAGAAAATTGTCCTCCTGATATTTTTGCTCTTGTTCAAAAGGAGACGTTCCTCTGGTTTTTTCTTGCTCGACTTTTCACTTTGCCTTTTGTCTCAAAAAAAAAAAAAATTAAATCATATTTTATTCTTAGATTTTCGGGATTGGTTTATTTTTGTCCCTTGATATTTAAAATATCAATTTTGATCCTTAAATATTTAGAGTTATTTTTATCTCGGTTTCTTAAACTTTTGAAATATCAATAATTTTCAATATGTTTCCAACTATTATAAATACTAAATAAGCCACAACTCCATAATTTTATCATCCAAATGATCAATGCCATTCAATAATCAATTAATTAATTTGTTTCCAACTTTTGTGTTTTTAAAATTTAAACTTATTTATTAACTATCTCTTTAACTATGTATCTAATAATATTTTGAGAATCCTACCCAATTGAGAGAGCCATATATTTCAAAAAGTGTTCTTAAATATTTAATTTTAAAATTTGGACTAAAATCTGACAAAACATAAGAAACATAAAATAAATATTTAATTTTATAATTTGGAATCAAATCTTAAAAAACATAAGAATGATAAAATAAAGAAGTGGCTCACCTATAGACTTTAATTTTATATATAAAATTAGGAACACAAAATATCAACCATTGTTTTAGCTTGTATTTATTTATTGTTTTTTAGTACACATTAAAATATGTGTCATTATGTATCAATACCGTTAAGTTAAGCTCATATTAACAATTTAATTATAATTAATTAACATATGTCAAATCAAAAGTTGAATAATAATTTAAAATATTAAATTAAAAATAGATAAAATAAACTATACATCTTTTATTAAAAATAATTTCATTTTACAACTAAAAAGATTGAACATCAACAGGAAGCGTAATAATAGCAACAACATTGGACCAAATGTATAAAATCAATAAATAATTATAAATAGAGAAATAAATAACAACACCCTCCTTGGATCTTCAACAGTTGTATAATTTTAATATTTAACCAAAGCCTTACACCACCCTCAATGATGCATAGCATTGCCACTTATTATTTTTAAGTTCATATTCATGATATCTATTGTTTGATATCTTTTATATTTTGTCAATTTTTTACGATGTTATGGAAATCTTGATTCATCCTTAATGTCGATATCAAACCCAATATAAACATGCAAAAATTTAGTACTATGGAGAGCACCGGTGGGATGGCAAAATCACACTCTTGGAGATGAGTGGAAACTTCCCTATTTGTTTGGTAATGGGGGATAATTTTTGTTTCAAATTGATTTAAATTATTATTATTATTTATATAAATCATGTTGGTTATAAGTTAACTTAAACTAGCAGGTTATAAGTTCGATCTTCTACCACATATATTATACTTAAAAAGAAAAGAAAAAATTAAATGTCGAAAATGAATTTTTTAAAAATTGGAGAACCACATGGAACGTATTGAAAGTTTTAGATCAAAATGATATTTAAAATAAATAAATAAATGAGAAGTTAAAATGAGATCGAGAGCAGGTGATTATCTCCACATAAACGGGCACGCCGCTATATATGTATGTATCATCGTAACTGAAACTTTTGAATTATTCTGATTGGACATAATTACCCTTCCCATTTTCAAAAAAGCGAAAAAGAACATGCTTCCTTTTACTTGATTATTCCCTCGCTCCTCCAAAGTCCGCTGCTTCTCTCTCTCTGCTTCCCGCTCTGCTCTCCGGCCGCCGTCGCCGGATACTTTCCGGCCTCAACTCCTCTACTCACCGGCGCTTTCCCAAACCCTTGCCCGGCGAATTTGGAGCTTCGAGCAGAGTATTCTCTTGGAATTTCATTTCTGAATAGAATCTTACTTGTCTTCTCTTGGTAAGTCACTGATTCTTGTTATTCTGTTGAATTAACGACGATTGATTATTTTGCATTTAACTTTCTGTTATTGAATGTTGATCGGCAAAGAGTAGTGGAGCGGATTGATTGATAGTTGATGTTGGTACTTTACGATTGAGGAGAAGGAAAGGATCCGAGTAAGAATTGTATACGTGGCGCTTGGTTTCCGTGAAATGCGCTGAGATGATATCCAAAACTGGGGTTTGGGGGGGGACAGAATAATTTTCTGTAGTTCATTATTTTCAGCATAAAACTTTGCTTAGCCCGAAGGCTGGTTGTTTTTCCTTTTGACCGAGCTCAGTAGGTCATTAGCCTTTTTTTTCCTATCGAATTTATATCAACGAACAAAGGTCGGGAAAATTAATGATTATGAATTTTCTGCGTATTTTCGACTGTAATTCATATTTTCCTTAATTCTTGGAAAATCACATTGGTGGCATAATGGTGATTGACTAATTCATTGAAATTTTCTCTCTTTTTTGGATTTTCAGTCACTAAAGAGTACTGTCGAAAACTGTCTTTTCAGTATTTGGATCTTTCTCATCTGTTCAGTTTACTTCTCAACGCTTTCGTATCGGTTAGTTTTTTTTCTGGATGAATAACTAACTTAGTTCCCTCTTGCAATCATTTATCTATTTATTTATTTTCGTTGCAGTTATATCTATGCTTCTTATCCTTGTATAGTTACATATTTATTTCTCTCACATATTAAGCAGTGTATATGATGAATGCTTTACTTCCGTGGCTCTTTGTTCCAATTAAAAATCCAAATTCTTTTCCATTTGTAGAAGGCTTGGTAGCGAAGAGCAGGGGACAAGGATCCGTAGAAAGTCACAAGCTAGAGTAAATCCAGTATCGAGATTATACATGAAGAAGTTGTTCTTCTTCAGATCTTCAGCGCCTAGCAACAGTAGTACCGTGGTTTCTTCATCAAGAACAGAAAAAGAAGATTGCATGGAGCATCCATTTGAAGGTAAATTGAACAACGTTGCAGGTAGTTTCAAGACCAATTGATGAAAGAGCAAACCTGATATTTGACTACTTGAATGCAGGTGCTGGTCTTAGAAGAAGTCGATCATTGTCTTCAGCATCATTTCTTGATGGCGGGAAGGATAAGAGTTCTTCTAGGTTAAAAGATAAAAATGGGTCTCTATCCAGTAACTTCATTGGCATTTCAGATCAGCAATGTGAACGTTCAGATCGGTAAGGTTTAGACCAGTTGTCTAAGAACATGATGAGACTTTGTTGCCTAGTGTTTCCATAAAATTGGTGCTATATTATGCAAGTCACTTAATCCTTCTTGATCAAATATTTAATGCTTAAAACTGAATAATCTTGCCTGTGGTATTGCTAGCTGTCAAACACCACCATTTGGAAGACAGTGTAGGGCAAAGCAATTTGAGACAGCACATAATACTTATGGAGCTGTAACGGAGAGGCCCTCTTCTGCTGTTTCATCCCAAAGTTATTGTGATTCTTCAGGAAACTCTTCTACTTCCTCTAGTAATGTCTCAACCAAAATCTTGGATCGATATATTGATGATGGAGAGCAACAGGATGAATCAAGAAGACCCCAAAACAATATTCCTCCCAGAAATTACCCTGAAAGTGGTAGTGGGAGGCGGCCCCCACGAAGTCGATGTACAGCACCTACTTCGCCAAAATTTGTTGTTGATGGTGAGCCAACAAGTCATCCGTCTGAAGAATTTCCAGGTTCAAATTATCACTTCTTCTCTGGGAAGTATGCTAAAAATGGGTTAGGACATGAATCTCCAAGGACCATTGCGAAGAATGTTATCGAGAGACTCTCCCAGTCTCATGGCATTCCTAAAACAAGTCCAAAGGGATTTGACAAAAGTATACCAATCACCATAGGGGATATTATACATGATAGATCCTCAAATGGATGGTATGATTCCAACTTAGATGCAGTTCCCCAGAAATTTTGTTCAGTACGTCAACCTTCCCAAGCTATTAATAGAAATAATATGGAGTGCTCTGGTTTCGATAGACAGAACATTATAAATCATAGTGAATTGTTAAACCTTGTTGAGACTGAAGAGGATATGGATGCAGAACTGCAGAGGAGGACCAAGGAGGCAGAGGAAAGAGTCGTGCTCTTCAGAGAAGAACGTGACCGGGAGAGCTTTCTTCAACAGAGGACAGGAGTTCCAGGTTTGATTCAGACAGTTAGACATATTACTGAGGAGAAAATAAGCTTGGCACTTGAGGTTTCAAGTCTTCTACAGTCCCAAATTACTGAAAGGGTTTCTGCAAGGGAAGAGCTGAGACTCGCAAAGGAAAAATTGGATTCTCAGACTAAGAAGCTCAATAAAGAAAAGAACGAGTTGCAGTCAGAATTGGAGAAAGAGCTGGACAGAAGGTCGAATGAATGGTCATTAAAGCTAGAAAAGTACCAATTCGAAGAACGGAGACTTCGTGAAAGAGTTCGGGAGCTAGCAGAACAGAATGTATCTTTACAAAGGGAAGTTTCTCTTTTTAATGAGAGGGACACAGAGAATAGAAACATAATATCAAATTCGGAGCAAAAAATTACGGACCTGACCATAATGATGGACAAATTAAGGGATGAAAACCAAGTATTGATGCAGAATGTCTCCGAATTGCAAGATAAGTACAGAACTGCTAAAGAAGATAGAGAATCCTTTAAGAGACATTTTGAGGAGAAGGATAAGGAATGCAAGGAGTTGTATAAATCAACAACAAGGTTAACGAGGACTTGCTGTGACCAGCAGAAAACAATAAATGGATTGCAGGAAATATTTACTCAAGAATTAGGGAAGAACCAAGAAATTGAAAGGTTTGATAAGCATGTGGCAAAAATGCAGATGGAGCAATTAAGGTTAACTGGAGTAGAACTGGCATTGAGAAGGGAATTAGAATCTTGCAGGTTTGAAATTGATTCCCTTCGGCATGAAAACATAAACATATTCAACCGCTTAAAAGATAGTGGGAAAGATAATGGTGCTTTAACCATCAAGCTGGATGAGGAAATGTTAGCACGTGTTGATTGTCTACAACATAAAGGGCAAACATTGTTGAATGAGAGCTCCCAGTTATGTGCAGACTTACTTGAGTTCATCAAAGAGAAAGTTCACTGTCGTTCAGAAAGTATGCAGGGAATGGAAGGCGTGAAGAACAATTTGGATGGGCTATATTTGATTGAATCTGAGGTGAAAGTTCAGGGATTGAAGCGTGGAACTGAAAGCTTAAAACGGAGTTTACAGATAGTATCTTCATTGTTGCATAAGAAATTTAACCTAGCTGCTTCGGAAGTCCATTCTCAGTGTGCAAATGCAGATGGGTCAATGCAATTAAATTGTGATGCTGCAGAGGTAGTCTCTGAATCTAGTACAAGCATCCCTAATGTCAATTTATTGTATTCTAAATCATGACTGGATTTATGAAGTTTGATAAGGGCATTCATTTTATATCTTATTTCTCTCTTGCAGCATGTTCTAAAATCTGAGCTCAAAGCAGAAAGGTTACTGACTTGTCTGTTGAGAGAGAAACTTTTCTCTAAGGAGCTGGAAATTGAGCAGCTCCAAGCTGAAATTGCAACGGCAGCTAGAGCAAACCATATTCTTAGATGTGAAGTGCAAAATGCACAAGACAACACATCCTGCATTTCTCACAAGCTAAAGGATCTAGAACTCCAGGTAATTCCTCCATATTTTCATGTCTCAAACTGAAATAGATTCGTGATTTAATCCTCGGGTTTAAGAAGAATTCAAATATGAAAACGTCCTTCATCATTTACAGATCTTGAAAAAGGATGAGAATGTGAACCGGCTGCAAAATGACCTTGAAGAATCTACTACAGAATTGGCGATCATTAGGGGAACTGTGCCAAAGATTTCTGAGGAGAGGGATATCATGTGGGACCAAGTGAAACAATACAGTGAAAAAAATATGTTACTTAATTCGGAGGTTAATCTATTGAAAAAGAAGATAGAAGTCCTCGAGGAAGACATACTTCTCAGGGAAGGTCAGATCACAATCCTCAAAGACACCATGAGAAACAAATCTTTTGACCTTCTTGGTAACATTGAATCTACAGACGAATTTCTCATTCGATGAACCAGAAAACCAGGCTTGCCATTGATTGGATCATCTCACTGTTCATAGTCATATTTTTAAGGTGCTGTTCAACTTGCCTCTCAATTTTCGTTTTGTCTCTTTTTGAAATTGAGTCTTCTCCACCCTTTTTCTTTTTGTTTTGGTTATTCGAAGTGTAGAGCTTGAAAATGAAAATGTGATGCGTTATTGTAACTAGCAGAAATTGAGTGGTAAATAAATAGATAGAGAATGATAGAGTGGCTGTGATTATCAAAGCATCAAACTGAAGAAACATGGAGCGTAAACAGAATTAGAACGGGCAAACTTATCAGACCTAACTTTCTTCAGGAACAATGAGCAAATTAAGTGGCTCATGCAGTGTCCACTTGCCTGGAACATATCAATAGCACATTTTGAAATCTGCTACCTTGTTTCTTAACAACTCCTTTTGGAGTCTACAGGTTGGGATTCTTCTTCAAATATTTCGCTAGGATCATATGGCCTTTGATTCTGACTCGGACTCTAGTTTCAGCATTAGGTGGACACGTTGTCTCGACCTCAATCGTTCAAATCTTTCACGAATGCATGTAAACAAATATTTGTGTTCGTACGAATGTATGTATACCGATCATCCATAAAAAAGCGTGTCCCAAGATCATGACGCCGTAAAAATATAAAAATTTTATGGTGCTCAACAGTCCGATAAGCACCCAGTATTATTGCAAATAGAATGGTTGGAGGCCAGTGGAATTGAAAAAATAGCCCACTCTAGAATAAGTTGTAAAATTAGTCAAATATAGGTCCATAAAAACCAGGACTGAGGTCTATAAAATACCATCAATTGAGTACATGATAAAAGGAGGCACTGAAATTATGAAACCAAGCACGAGCATATAACGCTAATTTTATGATCTCACAAATGATTGACGAATGCCTCCTTTTTCATTCTCTTTTCACTCAAAATACATAAAAACTACAGCATGGCTTCAGAGTTGGTCAAGAGAATTCAAAAGGGGTTGATAGTAACAGAGGGGTAACTAAAAAAAGCTCAAATAGAACATTTTAAACACGTCAAGTTACATAATCTTTTAACATCAGCACTACCCTCGCTTGATCATTGTGCACAGAGTACACGACCTCCATGTCACATATGTTCACCTCTGCTATCATCCTCGCCGATGCCATCTCCCCCATGTCTGCAACAACATCCACAATTTCGATTTTACGGTTCCAGCTTAAGAATGACAAACAGTAAATAAGTTGAATTAAGGAAATAGAGAAGAAAAAGAGTTAGAACCGCATTTGAAGTTAAGAGGGGTGATACTCTGCAGAGTTTCAAAGAAAAGAAAGATGAGGAGATTAATGAGGACTTGAGTTGTTTAATACTCGGGTGCATCTCACATATGAAGTTAAGAAGGGTGATACTTGGGTGCATCTCGCATTCCTTTAGATCAGAGATGACTTTATTTTCTTTTGTTCTGAGAAGGATTAGTATGTTTTGGGCATCAATAGTGCACTTCAATCCCCTGTAAGGGCTATCAATACGACTAAACGCCCGTTGGCTTACATCAACAGCAGTCAGCCAAAACTTGCTAGGTCGGCCTCAAGATTTGGTTGTTCGATTGTTGAGAAGGTTCAAAAGTATCTTTCTTCCTAGAAGAAGACTTCCTTCTCAGAGGAGCAAACTCACCCTAATTCAGTCGGTCTTTCCCCTTGATATAGGCCTCTCTTTACTGCTTTTCCTCACCTATAAAATCTGTCTCTTGAATCCTAGGTTGATTCCCCTTCTTTTGATTTGTAGGCTTAGACGCAATTTCTTGATAAAAGAACTGGCTAACTTGGCTTCCTTTTTCTTATTTGTATAGAAACAATTTCATTGATCAAATGAAAGTTGAAACGGTACAAAAGGGAGAAAATCTCATCCACAAAACTTCTCTGATTTTGGATATAAGAGTATTCGTTCCAGAGGGAGACATATTTCTAAACCAGTATAAAGCCCTCAAAAGGGAAGAGTTCACGCACAACTTGACACCATCGATGCTATTTAGAGCCTTTCCAGCATGTGTCAGCCTAGTTGGTGGTTGTTGTGCAGTAATTCTAATGAGGATAATCTTATTTTTTTTACATCCTCGACATTCCTTTGGGTGGCCCAAGGTTTTTCTGCTCTCATTCATATTTCATATGAATAGAAGAGGTCTTTCAATCAAAACGTTTCTTAGGAAAGAGACAAGGATGTCATATATAAACACACAATTAAACAGTCATAATTTTCTTTGGAAAGACACAAAGGAAAACATTATATATGCACACAATAAAAGGTCATTCTTTACTAATAAATAGTAGATTTTATTGTTCAGGGTCAGAACAAACCGCCATGATGAAGTTAGATTTCTAGCTTTTCGATCCAGTTGCAGGTTTTCCAAAGCAGTTGAGGCTCTGATTACATCCTCTGGAAGCTCATTGCCATCGTATCTCCAACTGTATTCATCTTTTCGGTAACCAGACATTGAAGATCCTCCCCTCCTATCTGAAAGCTTAAATCATCACATGAATAGTGAAGAGCAAGCGTAGAAGCATTTAATAAATAACTACATGACTTACCGGATGACTGTGAACCAGCACCAGACCTGAATAAATATACAACAAAGTTAGGGAAGGCAAAAAGGAATGTAGCAACAATTAGGTAAGGGAACGAAATGAAGCTATATTATTAGTTCAGGCATGTGTTTACCTTCCTAGAGGAGGTAAACCCCCTGAAACAGATGAAGAAGGTCTCCTACTGTTTCGAGACTCATGACTGGACATTGAATCAGATTCTGAAGTGGTTATTCTCCTTCCAGCACCCCTTGTTTGAGATAAATTCTGATTTGTTATCAAAGAAATGAACAAGATCAATAAGTTGCCAGTAAAAAGGAAAAGAAAAGAACAGAGAACAAAGATAGATTCCCAAGGCCACAGGTAAGGTAACAGGGAAAGACAATTTGAACATCTGTCTATTAATTTATTCTTCGAAGTAACACAGTTAATTCTCCATATTTTTATCATTGACTGTTATTGACTTGCGATACCCAGTGCAAAGGAAAAATACACACCTAATTGAGTTTGCACTTTGCAGTAGAACCCAGCAGGTTTATTTGAGAAAGATTGCATCTCAAAGACCAAACTGGAATATTACAAGAACTGTCGCATATTGATGGGGGCAAGAATAAACCATCAAAGTACAAAAACAAACATTTAGATTTGTGAGGCCGAAATTAGTTGCCTACTACTATTATGCTCATGACTCAACCCCACTAATCCCAATAAGACTTCAACCAAGCCAAGGACAGCTCCAGAAGATAACAAGGTTTTAAGCTATTAAGTTTTCAACTTGGAGCTTTGGGTCTAGACTAGAGCACCCTGTGGAAATTACATCTACCGTAAATTTTGAAGAAAATAACTATCCTTCAACAATACTATACAATAGTAAGCAAATATACACCACGAAGAATTCAAATTCAACAAAATCTATAATAAGATCTATTCTAACCAACCTCAAATTTCAAGAATCCTTCAAGCACATCCAAGAGCAAAGGTCCACTATCTCCATTTCTGTTAAGATCATATCCATTTTTACTACTAAATTCCTTCAATTCAGCTTTCCAAGAATCTTTTTGCTGCATAATTAAAAGACCATTAGATTTCGTATAACTTTTTATATCCTTTTATTCTTTTGGTCTGCTATTTTTCTCTTTTTTTGTTCGTGGGTGCATTGGAGAACTTGGTATACATGAAGCAACAATTTACTCAATTACCATATTGCACTCCGGGAGATAAACTTTTAGAGTGTGGTTTAGCTGAGCCCAATCTAAGTATTCACAAATTAGAGCAGTAAGCAGCCTCCCTGCAATTCAAATACCAAAGTAACGATAGATAGATTACTTAAGAGTGAATAACTACATCAAAAGTTTGAAATAATTGAGTTCGCCCTATTCACACTGTAGATTCTATGACTTTAATTATCTGTAAAGAAATATAATGCACGTTAAAAATCCCATTATCAAAAGTTCTTAAGGCACATTTTGTCAAGATGGACAAAATAAATTATTTTTAATTTTGTAACATTCAAGCGAGGAGAAAATTATGTGTAATCGAACCTGATGGTGAAGCGTGAAGCTGCTTGGCTCGATCATTGCAACTACCAAGTAATGCAGGTGGCAACCCTTCATCTTTCTCAATAACACGATCCTCTTCTTCAATTGCCTCGAATACACTAGCCCTAAGTTCAGCCTGGTATGTAACCCAAAGGAAAAAAAAATAAAGAGGTGAATAATTTGTTCTATGGAACAGGAGGGCAATTAGTGGCAGGACAACTGGGGAAAAAGTGTAAGTGAGAATTCAAGAAAGACCCCACAATTTCAAGGCACTGCCTTAGACTGAATATCTCTTCAAAGGTAGTGTCTTCTAAAGACCCCTACCATCAGATCGATGTCAAAGCTCAATACAACTCAAAAATAATAATCTATGAAGGATACGAGAAGTGGTCTAAGTATTCTTTCAATGTGTCAAAATGCACTTCTCAAGGACTTTCTCCAATGAGAACAAGTTGAAGGCCACGACACAACGAAGCTTCCATTATATCAGGGGATTGACATTAAAATTTTCTTCTCAACCAGTGTAAGATCCAATAGCTCTATAACACCCATGAATAACGAGAGGCCAAGTCCACCCAGTTGCCCAGACACCAAAGGCACAGAAACCCTAAACTCATTTCATACGATATCGCTGAAAGCTTAGGACAGTGGCTCAATTTTCGAAGTAACTGCATTCTGGTTCCAACCAGCTTAACACTAAAAAGGAGAGAGAGAGACAAGGATTCACTCTCCTCCATCCTAATTCCTCTCAAAGCAGCAAGTAGAAACAAAACCCTAGCTCTAATCTACCACATTCCGTACTGCTCGCCCATAATAACCCCGGAATTCCAAGAAATCAAGCAGGAAGAAATCGAGTATAAGATCTGCAGAGGCCGGAAGGGGGGGGGGAATCCGATCGAAACAGCGTCAAAATTGGAAAAAAAGCGAAGGAAAAACAAAAGAAAATTACACGGATCTTTGCGAGGACGCCCTTCTTCTCGAGAGTGCGAGTGACAAGGGTCTTCAAGTCCATCATCTCTCTCGTATAATCGTCCATCTTTGACCACTCCCCAGGCTTCCGCTTCGCTGCTCACTCCGCCGCTCGCTCCGCCGGTTCCCGTGCTCTGCTGCTGTGCGTGAAGGCGCGTGACAGCATCAACAACTACAGGATCGTGGGCATGAAAGGGAGCAGAAATGGAAGATCGAAGCGCAGCGAAGAGCGTGGAAATGAATCGTGATCTTCACTGTTGATGGAAGCATGGGCTCCATTGGAGGTTAGCCAGTTTCCTTCGTATCTGGGCCATTCCTCTTTCATCGTTTGGGCTCTGGGCCTTTGCCCAACTATTTCAAATAATAACTTTATTATTATTATTTTATTTATTTATTTATTTTTCATTTGAGTACAAACAAACCATTTTGGGATATAGGTTTGAACTTTGAACAAGGGGTGAGCAAATAGACACGAAAAATCGAATCGATCGAACCTACGTCGGTCGATCGGTTTTTTAGTCGGTCGGTTTTGATCATAATCAATAAATCGGTCAAGTCGGTGGTTATGCACCCTCACATTCTGATCGACCGACCGACAATAATATGTCTATTAATTTTTTTTTTGTTTTATTTTTATGTTTTTAGACCTTAGGTTACCAAAAAGATGGGAATAAATTAAAAAATGGAATTGAACAAAAAAATAACATCGCCCTTTTTTCAACAAACCGACCTACTAAACTGACAGTTGGTTCGGTCGACGCCAAGCTTTGCAGGTAACTCGTCAATTTCCATATTTGGAAATAGATGGTATCAAAGTCGACAAAAAACCGACTCTAACTGACCGATGCTAAGCCTTAGAGCAATTTTTCTATTTTTCAAACAAGGGGGTGTATTAACCATTTAAGCTGTGTTCGGTTTGGCTAAAATGAACCAAAATTAAAAGTACTTAAATCAAAATAGATAGTTTTAAGTCGACATGAGCTTACCTCAACAATAATTAATAATAGATTCGAATAATCCACTCCTATTCGTTCCACTAAAAAAACAAAATACATATCTTAAAAGTAGATGAATATATATATATATATATATATATATATATATATATATATATATATATATATAACCAATCTATTGTTTACACCTTAATCTCATTAGTGCAACAGAATAAAGTACACAGAATGTAATAACGGAGGATGGCTATTGGGAAGGTTGGAGAGAGAGCATAAAGCAGGCACTATCCTTTATTCTTTGTGTGTGTTTTCTTAATGATATCAAAATTAAAAGTGGACTTATTACACCTACAAGTACTACCATAAAATACACCACCATGAAAATGGCTTTTAAATATTTAATTTCAAACAGCTTCTAAACACACGTCAGCATAATTGTCTTACACAAATATATTTATTTTATTTCGAAATTGATTTAAATTCTTACCCTTTAAAATTGTTCATACATATTTCCTGCATCATCAATCTTTGTTGGTAATTAGAACATTCACTCCCACGTATTGTTGAATTAAAAAAAATTATATTAATTTATTAAATTTTTATATATAATTGATTGGTTAAATAAAATACGAGACAATCTTTATAAGTATTATCCACCAATGATCAAAGAGTCTCAATTCAATGGTCTTGTAGAATTTATTAACTATATAATATTTTTCAATCTATAGTGTAAGTAGAGTTATTTTTATTTGGGTACAATTTGAGGGAATAAAAATTTGAACTCACGATCTTTTATTTAGGAAAATATAGGCTATTCTCGAGTTGATAAATAGAATTATGTTTATTCATACTTTATACTATTAAATTTTTTATTAGATCCATAAGCTCTTAAAGTCGTGTTTATTCGATTATTGTATTTTAAACTGCTTTAATACGTCGTCAAACAAAGTTACGCATTCTCAACATATAACGCCGCTGCTACTCTTCAATCATCACGAATTCTCAACATGTTTAAATATTTTGTGGCACAAATCGAAACAAACAAAGTTAACAACAGCGACAGATTCAAAATCTTACAACACCTGAGTTAAAAAATCTGAAGAACCAATAGGAACTTCGAATTAATCCAGACCCAATAAATAGAAACCATAAAAAATAAAAAATATATAATTTATCATTTATATATTATTTATTACAGAGGATGGGATAGCCGATGGGGTTCGTCCGCGCCACGTGGGCCGTGTCCGCCATTATAAAAGGGCTCTGCAACTCCACTCTCTGAATTCACGGACCAATTTTCAGTTCTTGAGCTTCAAGACTTCAACAATGGCGCCTGTGGACCCACACTCTTACACAGATTCTACCCATCCATTCACTGATCACATTTCCCTCTCTCTCTTCTTCGATTTTTCTTCCACGATCATTCATGGTTCTGCCCTAATTTCTCTCGCGAGTTCGTACTCTGGTTCTTTGTCTCTCGATACTCGTTCTCTCACCATCCATTCGATTGTTGATCCTCAATCCCGTGCTCCGATACCGTTTTCACTCGCTCCTCCCGACAAAATCAAAGGCTCTCTTCTCTCCGTTTCGCTCTCCGGCCAGTCCTCTTTCCTCGTGATTTTCAGCACTGCTCCTACGGCCTCGGCTCTGCAATGGCTGACTCCTGCCCAGACTTACAACAAGACGCATCCGTTTGTGTACACGCAGTGCCAGGCTATTCACGCTCGTTCGATTTTTCCCTGCCAGGACACTCCGGCGGCGCGGGTGCGTTATTCTGCGCGTCTGAATATCCCTGGGGAGCTCTCGGCGGTGATGGCCGCGCGAAGTGTGGAGCGCCGCTCACCAGTTGCTGGCGAGGGTTCGATGTTGGCCGGAGGGGCTGCTTCGCTGTGGAGCGGCAAAGGGAGAGTGGTGGAAGAGTTCGTGATGGAGCAGACGATCCCGCCGTACTTGTTCGCGTTTGCCGTGGGAGAGATCGATTTCAGGGAAGTGGGGCCGCGGACTAGGGTTTATGGGGAAGCGGCGCCCTCGCAGCTCGACGCTGCAGCGATTGAATTTTCAGGGACAGAGGAGATGGTGGAGCATGCCGAGAAGTTATATGGACCGTACGTTTGGGACCGATTTGATCTTCTGGTGCTACCTCCGAGCTTTCCTTACGGTGGGATGGAAAATCCGAAGATGGTGTTCTTGACGCCGACGGTGATAAAGGGGGATGCTACGGGTGCGCATGTGGTTGCTCATGAGCTTGCTCATAGCTGGACTGGGAACCTCATCACTAACAAAAACAACGAACATTTTTGGTTGAACGAGGTACTTTTTTTCCTTTTTGTCTTCATTCCAATTGATTGGTTGCTATTTCATTTAGATATAACTAGGGTTTCCGGGGAACTTTTTACCCAAATTAAATCAAATCACTCGGGTTTGTTCTGTTCTATGCTAAATCAATGATTCTAGCGAGAAGTGAGTTGTGTTTGACTTCAGTTTCTGGTTCAAGTATCGTGCGAGCCTAATTGGGGTCCTCATTGATTTATAACAACAGTTTTATCCCTTGTTCTCTAGATTTTTTTGCTACTGTTAGCTTTGTCTTTTTGTGCAGGCTGTTTTGTAGTGGCCTTTTTTCTGTATTCTTTCAACGGTCCAAACTAAAGTTTGGTTTTCATTTTTAAAAAGTTGTGCAAACTCTTGCCTTGATTTCTTGCTGAGGTTTTTGTGCAAATTAATTTTCTTTTCCACTCTCTTCTAGTGTTAGTGTGTGTGTGGATGGGTTGATTTGGGAAGAAAAGAGTCAAACTTAATGAGCTTAAATGGATCTCAATCTTGTTCTTCTCTGGCAGTTCTTGATGGAATAATTGGAAGATCCTAGTTTTGGCTTGTTATGATTATGGGCAATAGAACTCTCAATCATGCCATTGTGCCCAGAAGAGGCTTGTTTGTTCTTTTGAGAGCCTTTGTTTCTCTATCCTTTTTCTAATGCTATTTTTTGTCACGGATGGCGGTAGGGTTTTACGACGTATGCTGAAAGGAGAATTGTTGAGGTTGTGCAAGGGGAGGATGCAGCTACTCTCAATACAGGAATAGGTTGGAAGGGTTTGCAAGAGGATGTTGAAAGATTTAAGGATAATTTGGAATTCACAAAGCTAAAAAACAACCAAGAAGGCGTGGATCCAGATGATGTGTATTCTCAAATACCCTACGAGAAGGGTTTTCAGTTCCTTTGGCGTATTGAACGCCAGGTATGTTATAATGTTTCTTCAAACTATATTAATCCTTTTTATTGTTTCATTGTTTGTATTTGTTCTAATGTTCATCCTCTTAATCTTCAGGTGGGAAGGCCTAAGTTTGATGAGTTTCTTAAGAAATATATTGAAACCTTTAAGTTCCAGTCAATTGATACCCAAACCGTTCTTGATTTCATGAAAGCAACCATTCCTGGAATTGAGAAAGAGGTAGATTTGGTAATGTGGACTGAGGGCACTGGTATCCCTCCAGATGCTTATGAACCAGTTTCTAGTTTGTACACGTCGATCCTAGCGCTCGCCAATGAATTTAAGCTCGGTAAAATGCCGACCGACGAAGAAACTGCTGATTGGGGAGGGCAAGAATGGGAGCTGTACTTGCAGAATCTGCCAAAATCTGTTGAAGCCTCACAGGTACTGATTTTTATGATCAACCCCTCTTTTTTCCTTGAGAATGTTATGCTACAAAGGCTGGAGTAGGAATTTGAATATATGAGTTATTAGAAAAGGGAACTCGAACCCATGACTTGTTAGAAAAGGTAGAGATGCTTTTAACTACTCAACTCAACGACAGCGACTTGATATCACTTGCCCAAAAAACGAGTGTCTTCTTCAACTTTTATCTTTCAAATTAGGTTCTTTAGTTATGAATGAGTCCGTGCATCCCCGAGGATGGTGTAGTGGCAAGGACCTTGGATAGAGTGCCTTCCATGAGATCTTTGGTTTAAGCCTTTGGCTGGTCATAGTATTGTTCAGCATCAATTTTGAAAAATACCGTAAGCACACAACATAAGTCACATAGCATCAATTCTTAATTCTTATGGTAGGGATCCACAACGTAAACTACACAGCATCAATTCTGAAAAATTAAAAAAAAGAAGTCTATATTTTCTGGAACCAAAGATGGTTCTTGATCTCAATTCTACAGTTTGATGCTTCCATGAGCAATCGTGAACTTCATATGATAGTTATGTTTTCGTACCATCTGTTCGATTGTGTAGGTCCAGGCGTTAGATGGCCGTTATAAATTCTCAGAATCAAAGAATTATGATGTCAAAGCTGCATTTCTTCAAATTGCAATTGTGTCGAAGTATCGAGATAGCTATGTTGAGGTCGAGAACACTTTAACGGCAGTTGGTAGAATTAAGTACCTCCGTCCTCTGTACACTGCTCTTACACAAGGCCCCGGGAGGGAAGAAGAGAAGATTTTGGCGAAGAAGATATATGCCGAAGCCCGTGAGAGTTATCACCCGATTGCTCGAGGGGTCGTTGAATCCATCTTTGCCCAGAACATGTAAGGATTCTGAATCACCATACCCCTGAATTCTTCTTCTTCTAAACTTCTTTCCTACCTTTAACTTGTCTCCTACTATTAATGCTTGTGGTCTATGCCCCTCGGCCAAAATATTGTACCATGAGCAAATATCAATAATAATAAGAAACAGGGGACGTCTTTTGTATCATTTTGTCTATTCTCCTTTCTTAATTTCTAGAGCTATCCTAAACATAACTAAATTAGTTAAACCATATATTTTCAATTAAAAAAATTGAAGGTTCAAATTCTCAAAACCCTACGTACAGTTAATTCAAGAAAACAAAATTCCACATAAATCTGACGAGCAAAGAAATGAACCAATTGATTATAATATAAATTGGGAAGCTACATCCCTTATATGGACTTCTCAATTTTAAGCCTAAACAATTCTTATCAATTCGGTGAAAGAAAAATTGTAATATCGCCTGGATAACATACTATCACCCTCATTTATGCCAAGCTTCCAAATGCTATGCTTTATAGAACTCAACGTTGCTCCCACAGCTTGTAGAACAAATCCTGATGCTTTATATTCTGAAAAGAAAAGATTTCTCGCGGATTTGTTCGGTTTCTGTTTTCTTTTTTGCACAAGGTATTTTAGTATCATGTTTTCTCGTATTTTCAAGGAGAACATTGGATATTATAATTATGTGTGACATAGGAGAACATTGTAACACCATAACACAATGAATTAGGATGAAAAATGAGAGATCAAAAGGCATTAAGAAATGCACTCAGTTTCGAAAATATAGTCCACTGCTTCTTCAATGGTATCAACGACCTGCAATAATCGAAAAAGAAACTCAAATATAGAAGGTAATAGGGCAGACATTATAGTCATTAATGTGATTACATTGTAATACTTGTAAGTTCTGTACGCATTTTTATCCATCAACTTTCTACTTACAAGATCGGCAGGAAACTCGGCGTGATTTTCTTCGCCCCTGTACACTCCTGTCCTAGTTAAAATAGAAAACCAAGGTCGTCCTGCCTGAAATCACAAGTCGATTTTGGATATTAAAATCTGGTTTTCACAATGCGAAATATTTATTCGCAATGACAATAAGGTGATGAAACTACAAGTGCTAAAATGACGAACCTCTCGTGCACCTTTGATGTCTACCGCGGGGTTGTCGCCGATCATATAAAGTGTTTTAAAACGAGTAAATTCCATATCTCGATTGTTCACAAAATGATCATCACAGTGAGATGAGAGAATTTATCTCAGCAGAACTTCAACATTCTTAAACACAAGAGGATTTGGTTTCCCGTAAGTTACATATTCGAGAGGTCTATGGTGAATCCTGCGACTCAAGATCAAACAGTTTTAATCAATACTTGGAGTGGTAATAATTCTAACACGAGGGAATTAGCTTTTAAACCATCAAAATTAGTAGCACTTCTAACACAGCTTGTAAGTGAATGAAAAGAGAGAGAATCTCGAACACCTAGGAACCAAGGGGCAATTCATGGGCCAAAATATTGCCATGTTTCCTGAGTTTTAAGCAGCAAATGGAGAAAATTTTGACACAAGATAGCAACTTTACCTATTAAATATACTTTCCAGTGCAATTTTAAAGGCACCTATCCCAAGCCGCTTAAACGGAAATGCAGCCTGCACAAAAAATCCAATCGACACATTCTCGATTTTACTGGCAATGGCATTTGTAGCCTTAAAAACTAATGGAGAGAATGGTAGGCTAGGTAGATGCAGAGTAAGAGAAATGACAAACAATTGCACGGCACCATTAGGAGATGTAACCCTGTGCTGGCGGTTATTTCAATCGATAAGCATTATTTGCATAAGTAATACATAACATAATCTTTGAAACTAACCTGATATTCAAAATCATCTGCAGCAAAATATAGAGGCACCTGATTCCCATTCTCCTGTCCTGGAAGGCCTCCAGATCTTAGAATATCACAAAGAACCTAATTCATTCATCAATGAGTTTGAAGCTTTTGCAAAAATAGCTATTATCAAGAGGTCAGCATCAAGCAAGGGGGCTGAATTCAAAGTTCGATTTCAAGCTAATTTCTTTGAATCTGAATCTTAGTAGTAAACCTGGTCAAGGAAACTCAAAAGGGAAAAAGGAAAACCAAGCTTCAAATTTACTAAGAAAGCAAATCAGAAATGGTTAAAGGTTATGGGGCGAAGACTACTACTGTGGGAAGCATTGCAATAGTTCAATATTTTATTCTGTTTTGGTAACACAAGGTATTAACATCTTGCAATTTCAACTACCATAAAAGTTCAACAAACTATTGAAGATTTTTTTTTTATTTATTTATTTTTGGATGGATTGAAAGATGTACAATGTTCAATTAAGAATCTGAACTTTTCAGGTGGGCGGCAGTATCAAATTTCCACAATTTCAATAATAAATGATAGATCTTCAACAATATTTTACAATAAAATATATTATATTCGTGTACGATGATTAGCAATCTAAATTTTCATCGATTGATTCACAATTTATCTACAAGTGAAATGAATTAGAAGTCTACGGAGGTATCAAACTGGAGAAAATTTTTTAATTTATTACCCAGTAAATTATACAAAGTCCTAGACAGATGTTACTATTGAAGAGCCAAGTAATTTCAAAACCTATAATAATTATTTGTCGCTGGACAAATGTTAGTAACTCAAATTTATAGACATGAAGTAAAATTTACCTAATGGAAGTTTGGAACAAGTAGCCTTAACAGCTAAATTTACAACCCACTATACAACTACCAGCTCAGAAATTCAAAGAATAAAGGAGAGAGAATGAGTACTTGGATATCCCTGCCCCAATCAACAGGATCACTGACAACAAAAGCCGCTTTCACTCTTTCAGAGAAAACACTCTGCCTTCTCCTCATCAACTTCACAGGGTTGCTAGTCAAATCAAAATCTTGTTTGGTTGTCCAGTTCTTGTATTGGGATACAGGATCAATATTCTCAAAGAAGGAAGCATACTCATCAATGGAGAAAACTTTTCTGTAGAGGAATAAAATATTATCATATGTGATCCAACTAGCTCTGAAGGCATTGGACGAAAGATAATCCAAGACATATGGCTAAGAGCTTACTTGAAACCATACTCAGACATAACAAGAGCTGGCTCACCCTTTCCAGTTGCAACGATAAGTTCATTCTCAAACCTGAGGTAAACAAAAGCAGTTAAATACAAAATTTAAAGCATATGCCGACGATAATAAGAAACATGATGCAAAATATCATTGACAATATAAGATAAGCTAAAATCTGTGAGTTTAGCATGGTAAATAAGAAGACCCAAACTTATTGCCCAGGTCCCTAAGGTATCTATTTCAAAGCTTCAGTAATCTAAAAAAATTTATCCATGATGTCATTCCAAGATTCAGTTTTAGCTCACTTTCACTATATTCATGCTAACCTAAAAACAACCTTCAAATGGCCTTTCCTTTTCTTTTTTAGTAGGGGGACAAAAATTCCTATCGCTTAATAATATACAGAGGAGAAAGCTGTTCGAAGAAATCTCCGAAAACTTTTTTAAGTAGCAACTGCATAAGCTAGTTTTATCTTCTGCAGAACCTTATATGAAGTATAGTGAGTTTCATTGTACTAATTTTTTTTTCCTTTTTCTTCTTTTCCTACTTCAAAAAATATGTTAACTAAGGAAAAAGTACCCTCCAAATTTATATGAAGGTACCTACTCAACAAACTTTTAAAACTTGAGTGGCCCTGTACAACCTGCATCAAGATATAAAAAAAATGAGAGCTACGACAAAGCCGACAAAATCAATAAATTGCTGAGAAAGCAGCATCTCATTCAGTATAAAAGGGAGGATCGTAATGTGAGAAATAACTACCTGAGAAGGTAATATATTCACTCCTAAAAGGTCACTCAATTCAATGGAGCGTCTGGACTCTGGGGTACCTCCTCCTACACAAGAAAATGAATAACAATATTGTCATCTTTTATATGCTAAATAACTATCTTTTATAATTCTTTCACAATGTATAATTGGATATAATGCTCAGCAAGTAAAAACGATCACGAGGAACTCTATAACTGTCATGAAATAGCTGTACACTTACAATAGCATCAGAAACTAGCATATCTTTTGGTGAGGTTGGGGGAAAATGTTGTGCTAATAACCATGGTAAGTATTCGCAAGAATAAATTGTCAAACAATTTTTTGTGCATCAGATGCAATTACAAAAGCTGGCAAAAATGCAATAATAAGGCTTTTTTCCCTCATATATATGCACTCAACCATTGGCTCATATTGCTGGCTAATCCATTTCACGGAATAGTTGAACAGTGGTATACATACATTGTGAGTTCGTTTCAACAAATTAACTATAAGACAACATTGAATACCATGAAGAAAGGACGAGAAACTCACCATTGGTCAAGAAAAGAAAAGGAACTTTCAAAGGACCTACACAACAGCAGCATCATTTGTATTAGATACAGAGTCAATTTACCGAACCATGCCCAAAAAGCAATAAAGCAAAACAATATACACCAAAACAAGAAAAAATGACTATGTTACATAACATCAATTTAGTAATCAAGTAGATGGCAACTCTTGTTGTTCCACTCTTGATTAGGCAGTCCCCAAAATCAACTTCCAGGCGATTTGTTGAGAAAAATAAAAATAAACTGCTATTCATGTGTTTCCACCTGAAGAAAACGTTATTTTTGTAGAAACCAAGAAAAGGGCAGCACCTTGATGATTTTCTGGTTTTTATAGTTTGAAAATTTCACTTCGGTGGATAGATCGATACCAGAGGATGTAGAATCCGCATACAGCCTTCTCAAAGCTTTGGGAGACCCTCCAATAGGAGTGTGGCCACGTAGAACAACCCCATCGATGTCAAATGCAATCCCGAAAGAACTGTGATCATCATAAGCTCTTTTCACTTCTTGGTTGCCAGTAAATAAATAAACGAAACTACGAACAGCAATAATAAATGATAAATATCATCTTTCTGATCAAAATAGCATAGTACGTAGTCTCCTAAAAGAAAATGGAATTGAAATGTAGTTCCTAATATCCTATTCTCGCAGAGTTTCAATCGCGAAACTAAAGATGCGAATCTCTGTTACTGCCCGCGAACTTTCTTGAAAACATACTACAGTCCTTTACAACGATTTCTGAGTAGCCAATCAA